AAGAAGTAGCATAATCGGTTTCAGTCATCTGGTATATTTTCTTATTTTGTTGTAGTCGATTATGTGGAAAGATATACGAAATTTCCAAGAAGTAACATGGTCTTAATATTGGGTTACTTAGTATACAAAATAAGCTTTTCCTAAAAGCTTAACTGCCGTACTACCCGTCAGACAAGTACAGTAAAGTTAAACCGATCTGACAGCCAATTTTTCAATACATTAATTCAGAATATTGTTTTAAGAACATATGATATGTCAATATCAGTATAATTCATGTGCCGAAACAAATTATGCATCGTATTTGATGATTTCATAAAAGTAATTCCAGCAAATGATGTTCACTTATTTTTTCCAAACAGCGCTTACTCCTACCCATGCCATATGCAACCATCATCATTGTCTGCATCAATAACACATGTTGGAAAATCTAGTTCAGGGTGTGCCACCACGGAGTCTGAGATTCTAATCATAGGTCCGCATTACATGATACTTTTCCAAATTACAATCCAATTGCTCCTTAAATAATATTTTTAAATTTTTATTTTTTTATACGAGCGTCACTGATGAGTCTTTTGTAGACGAAACGCGCGTCTGGCGTAAAAAATTATAAGCCTGGTATATTTGATATTTTGTTTATATCTATGGGATGCCATCTACAACATCACAAGAAGAAAAAAGCAAAGTTATTACCATGTCATACTTATTCATTAGGATAACATATCCTATTAAATCATAGTAATTGGAAACAGCAATGCACCAGTTTGTTTTGCCTACTTTACTCAATATCGTCATTTGACTACCCAATACATTTGAAATTAAATTGCAAATATATTGAACCTTTATCTATTATTTTAGGCCTATTTGAATTGAACTGCTGTAACTAAAGTGATCCAAACTATAAGCAGCAATAGAAACTGTTAAATTTTGAACAGATGTATCATGTTGTGGAGGGGTATTTGCGAAAAATACCAGTCAAGGGACTGTGCAATTTCCCGAGCCGCAAGGCGAGGGAAATTTGGTCCCACGACTGGTATTTTTCGCAAATACCCCTCCATAACATGATATATCTGTTTAATTACACCGGATAGATTTTGATTGAAACTCTCTGTACATGCAGGTGAAAGGAAATCTTTTTTTTTTTACTAGTAAGCTGTAATCCATAACATGTTTATGTATAATTTTGAGGATAAGTAGACTGTAGAGAATATCAAAGTACCGCGGGAATTATACATGTACTAATACGCGTTAGCACTGTCTTTATGTAACGTCATATCCGAATAATTTTGGCGGGAAGAAGCTCGCGAGGGTAAAAAAGGAATATCCAAAATGGCAAATACCACGGCATAGAGGGGAATTTGAGGCATATTCAACGGCATTGGTGAAAAACAGGCAAATTCGTTTGAAATGAGGAAAAAAGGTTAGAATATGCGAAAAATACACTGGCTACCAACCAATCAAAATCCGGCATTCTTATATAAGGTGTAATTAAATGATTAATTACACCTTATATAAGAATGCCATATTTTGATTGGTGGTAGCGAAATTGCTTGTTTGTTACCACTGCCGGTGAATATGCCTCAAATGCCATGGTATTTGCCATTTGGGATATTCCTTTTTTACCCTCGCGAGCAACTTCCCGCCAAATTTTTTCTGATATGACGTTACGAAAGCGAACTAACGCGTATTAGTACATGTATAATTCCCGCTGTTCTATGATAATATCCACTTATCCTCAAAATTATGCATAAACATGTTTATGAATTACAACTTACAAGTAAAAAAAATATTTGTCTCCATCTGTACAGAGAGTTTCAATACAAATCTATTCGGTGTAATTAAACAGATATATCATGTTATGGAGGGGTATTTGGGAAAAATACCAGTCTTGGGACCGAATTTCCCTCGCCTAGTGGCTCGGGAAATTTCACAGTCCCTTGACTGGTATTTTTCGCAAATTCCCCTCCATAACATGATAAATCTGTTCAAAATCTAATACCAAATAATAGTGATCCATATGTGAGCATTGTTTTCATTGTGGTATTAAAATTTCAAATAATAGTGATCCATATGTGAGCATTGTTTTCATTGTGGTATTAAAATTTCATAAAAGTCATGTCTGGATACCCCATATTCTTTCTGTTTTATTGTAAAGAAGAAGAAACGGCATTTAAAGAAAATTGATTCATTTGCAAAGTTTTTTCCCGAATTTTTACCGCCAAAATTTTTCTTTTTAGAGTTGAGTTCACTAAACTTTCATTGGTGTCTTTAGTGTGTTGTTTAGAATGTCGTTTGAATTTTTTTCGATTTCTTGCTGTTTTAAATTTTGAAAGGCTATTGTTTAGATTTCCCGCATCTCTTATCAGAAATTATGGTACATGTTGGTTTTTTGTTTCAATCTTTTTTCTTCACGTGTTTAAAAATAATAGCTGGTGTCTGTCCTGTGTGTTTCTATTTTAAAGTATTGAGATTTTCATAATCTTTGTAAACCATTTAACCATTGAACCGTTATGATGTTAACAATAAAATCATAACTTTAAGTGCAATCAAATTAGTTTGAGATTTGTCTCTTTGTAATCTATCCAAATCTGCAAAGCCTTTTCCAGAGATATTTAAAGGAGCAACTGTTGTGGATTATTATCTTAAATTTGAATCTATTCAATTAGTTGTTTTAATTCACACTGTCACTCTGGACTCATCTGAAAGTTTAATAAAATGGGCTCAGTAGTAAGAACTTTAAGCTCTTTCTCGTCAACGGCAAACATTTTATCAACATTAGTATAACTTTTATCAGTAGCACCTTTTGGATAAACCACAAAGAACGCGTGAAATTGTTCCCATGCATAATTTTCGACTTATGAGTTTTAATATCCCTTTGGTATCGTTAGCCTTTCTTCTAAGTCTAAAGTGTTATCTTATTTTCAATAATACGCAACAAAGGGACAAAGTAACAGTAAATAGCTTGACAAATTTTCTTAAAGCCCTACAAAAAGAGAGGCGAAAGATACCAAAGAGAAACTCAAACTCATAAGTCAAAAATAAACTGACAACGCCATGGTTAAAAAAGAAAAAGACAAACAGACAAACAACAGTACACAAAACACAACATAGAAAACTAAAGACTGAATCACACGAACCCAACCAAAAACTAAGGGGGGGGGGGGGGGGGGGGGGATCTCAGTTGCTCCGAAAACGTAAGCAGATCCTGTTCCACATGTGGCACCTATCGTGAAGCTCATGTATGTACAAACCCGGTGATAAGTCTAATTCATTCGGTAGTTCACATTCGGGGAAAATGGAACGGGATTGTAGTTGCGACAATTGGAACATATCCGTTGTCATCTGTAAAACAGATATTCCATAACGGTCAACCAACAAATACATTTGGTGGTATCATATTCGAGAAAAGAGTCTGGGATTGTAGTTAAAACAATTTAAACATATCCGTCGTCATGTGTGAAACAGATATTCTAATTTTTTTATTATTCTAAATATTGATTTTAATATATTATTATAATCTACAGAATTAGACTTATCATCGGGGTTTTACTTGCATCACGAAGGGTGTCACATATTAGGCAGGATCTGCTCATCCTTATGGAAAACCTAAGATGACCCACGGTTTTTTGGTTACGTTCGTGTTGCTCAGTCTTTAGTTTTCTATGTTGCGGTGTGTAGACTGCTGTTTGTCTTTGGTCGCTTTCCGGATTTGTTGTATTGTCAGTTTTGTTTACTTGTGAGTTTGACTATCTCTTTTGTATCTTCATCCTCTCTGTAATAAATATGGATTTCGATAAAAAATTGGTGGAATCGGAAAATTTTGCCTAGTAAAAGGGGATATCAAAAGTTAATAAATATGTAGAGACATAAAATGAAGCCCATAAAGAAGAGGCGAGTTTATTTTACATGCTTTCTCAATAGCCATACAAAAACAGTGATACATATACAGTAAAGGCAAAACACACACTGTTTGTAAAATTAAGGCGACAATAGTTTATATCGATTTTGTTCAAATCTCGTAAATCAATTAGGAATAGACAAATCAAAGTAACAAACATAAACTGTGAAACTGAGGGAATCGCATTACTCTAAAGGGAACGAGAATGGGTGCATTAACAGTGTAAGCGTCTTCTGCTATGCATTCATCACCCGCCATGCAAATTCACACTCAGTAAAAATGTAACAATTAGGACACAATCGGTAAATTCGTAATGGTGACTGTAAAACTTATGTAGTGTCGTTCTTCCTAATAATTCTGAGAACTCGTTGAAGCAATTATTTCAGTTTGAAATTCTGAATTAATTTGGTGCGATTTTATGGATATTTGATAACTTCTAACCTGAATATTATTTTACATCTCGTACAGAAAGACCATAATGGTAACTAAGGTATCAAAGTATGATCACTTCACACGACAAACAGAAAAACCACTCTAAAGAGAGGCGTCCGTTTTGGCTCTTTGAGATGTATAAATACAAAGTTAGGTCGTTTCGGATTGGGGATGCTTATAATCCGAAGCCTCGTGAAAGGAGAGTGCAATGTGTCTTATACGTTTTAGAACCCTTGTAACAGTCGTAGGCAACCTGTTAATTATAGAAGATAACGTTTTATCACCTGATGAAACACTGTGATGATATAAATTAATGACAATGTGTTTGTGTTAAGGTTTTCAAAATACCTATAATTTGTCCTAATTACAACTAGTACACAATATATATTTCTAATATGACGTTCTTCAAACGCTTTAAGTATACACCCGTGATAATACCGATACATGAATATATTTTGTATGTCAGCTGATCGGCAATGTCATGATTTGTTTGGGCTGTTCCCATCATACGTCGTATGCTTTTTGTGAAAGAGTTACCCGAGGTCAATCGATGTAAATGACGTCATTGAACGATGACGTAAGAATAGGCCAGTTCCGCGATGCGGTATTCAGCTTTATCTGTCGTGTGACAACCATCGTCACGTGACAAAATTCTATGCATATTTTTTTCAAAATGGCGGGTATTGATCAACAAAGTAAATCTGTGGCTGAATTGAAGGCATTTTTGAGAGAAAGAGGTGTAAATACTTCTATCCATAAAAAGGAGTCACTTATTAGGTTAGCAGAGGCAGCAACCGAAATTCAGCTTGAACCAGAAGAGGTGAAAAATTACCATTCTGACCGCCAAAACCGCCGCACAATTGAGACACCAGACGGCAAAAAAGTTATTATTCCGGATATTCTTTCCATCAGTGACTGGAATAATAACCTCACCACTCTTCCGACTGTTGAAATGGGGGACATTTTTGTATATTTAATGACAACCTGCATGTGGTCAAATGATAGACTGAAATCATACAAAAATGACAATGGCTACCAGTTATATATGCAGAGACATGTTGATAATGTTGTAATGAGAACTTTGAATAATGACCATCTATATATAAAATGTACACCTGAAACAAGACAAAAGGAAAAGCCATATACCACCTGGATACTGATGGATAACAAAGAAAGGCATAAATCAGGGGGATGTACTTGTGTTGCGTAAGTATGCTAAATTGTAAAAGATCATAAAATTGCATTAAAAAAATTTTAATTTCAAAGATGTTATACCTGAAAATCATGCATCTGTCCTAATCTCATTAGTTGTGGTTTGTCATATCTTTATAGTTTTATTTATTATTTGAAATTATCATGATTATTGTGTTTGTAAATTTATCAACAACTGTTTAAGAATAAACATAGAATTGAGAAAGGAAATGGAGAATGCATCAGAGACAACAACCCAACCAAAGAGCAGAAAACAGCCTAAGGTCACCAATGTATTAACTTCAGACAATATATAGATTAATTTTTTTTTTATAGACTATATAGTACAATAAACATTAATCGCCCTAAAATTTGTCCTTTGATTATAATAACTTTTGTTGTGAGTTGCTGTCTCATTGAGTGTGACCTTCATATATACTCCACATCTCGTTAAATTTACATGAAAATTCTATTTTGTCAAATATGTACTACTGTACATGTGTTTGTGCACATGTACATGTAAAACATGTAGATTTTACATGTCTAAAGATTATTTATGAAAGCCTAGTACAATGAAGGTTGATAGAGCTACATGTACCCTTACATACAAATATAATACAAATTGTGCAAACACATTCATGTAAAATTTTTGTCCATTTATCATGTTTATAATGTCTCACCATGCTCACAGTTTGTAATTAGAATATAAACAAACTGAAACTTTCATTTTTTTTCTTCAGTGATGATGGCAGCTGCAAACATTGTGTTGCTGTGTTATTTGCCTTGCATGAATTTACAGATCGACATAAAGACAGAGGGACTGAAGTCTGCACTGACACACCTTGCCAGTGGGACAGACCAAGGCAGAGTTCAAATCCTGAAACTATCCATACGCTTTAATATGGTAAAAAAAACAATCGTGACGCCTATAAGCCTTTATCATACAATGTAAACAGAGATGAAATCATGAAATCTTTATTCAAGGTTTGCAAAGAGCATGGATCTTGCTTAACACACACTGTGGACCCACCATCTGATGAAAGTGACATTGAAACTGAGATTAACAATTACAATATCCTACCTCTTGAGGAATTAGTTTCAAAATTTAAATCTGACAATGAAACAATGGACCAAAAGGAATTTATTAATTACATTTGCAATATACATACTACTGAAATCATTAAAACTATTGAATTAACAACAAGAGACCAATCCGACAACCAACTATGGTTTGAGTTGAGAAGAGGAAGAATTACGGCATCTGTTATGGGATCAGTATTGAACTGTAACTTAGACAGACTGTCTGAGAATAATTATATAGTTAGAAAGATTAAAGGAATTGTTCCATTTTTCTCTACAGAAGCCACTGAATATGGAAAGACAATGGAAAATGTAGTAAGAAGTCAATATTTTGAAAAATATACAACTGTGCATAAAAAAGTAAATATATCAATGGCAGGCTTAGCAATAAGTTCTAAACTTCCGTTTATATCAGCTTCGCCTGATGGACATATAAAAGGTCAGTGCTGCAGTGAAGGCATTCTTGAAATTAAATGCACATTTGTGCACCAACATGAATACACAAAAGATATTGCTTTGGATGGAAGTTATAATGTTGAGTTAGTAAGCAACAATGTAAAGCTTAAAGTAAAATCGTCATGGTATGCTCAAATCCAAACCCAATTATTTGTTACTGGAAAGCCATGGTGTGATTTTGTTTTATTTACACAGAAAGATGTTGCAATAGACAGAATTTATTTTAACGAAGAATACTTTGACAAATGTTTGAAAAAAGCAACTGAATTCTTTTTTAAATATTTAATTTGATATTAAAATATTTTAACATTCATATATATGGTTACAATAGTTATACTTATTAAAAAATATGACAATATTATAACCAATTTAACAACTGAAAAGCTTGATATATTCATGACATTAGTAAACAGGATTCATGTCTACAATAAAATTGAGAATAGAAACAGGGATTGTGTTAAAGAGACAACAACACAACCAAATTATTGATTTCAGTTATTTAAAAGGTGTATTGAAACTCATAAATACATTAGAACATGATATCATTGAAATTGTTTAAAAGGATGAACATTTATTTCTAAGGAAAATGCTACATGTAAAATTAACTTCAGAATGTCTAAAAATAAGCTTTTAAATGACTTTTATTAATTAATGTATACATGGCGGTGATGATGCATGGTATATTATATTAATAATGAAACTACAAAAGCAGACAAAAATGAGTAACTTTTTTCTTTCAACACTAACAAAAATAACAGGACTTTATTAGATTTTTTAAACTTGTCAAAATTGATTTTAGGATATGTATTACATGTACATACTATGGAATAAAAGTAGTGTTAAATTTCACCAAAGGTTTGAGTAAATTGCAGAAAAAGGCTGCAACTGTAACCATTGGTTAAACCAATGATTTCATGTTCCATGGTATTGTTTGTGCTATATGTTTGAAAGATTTAAGACGCTGTATTGCTCTCTCAACATGAATTCTATGGTTTGCAATTTTTCTAGTTTTTTTTTATTTCATTTGCATTTAAGTATTTGCCTTTTCCCCATTTACATTTGCGAGTAAATGGCGGAATTGTGAGATAAGCCTTTCTTTCTGTTAGAAGATCTCTAATTGTAAAACCTCTGTCTGCCATGATTTCATCACCAGGGGATACAAAGTCTAAAAATCCACTGTGTTCAGTGATATACCTATCAGAGGAATTACCACCCCACATGTTTGAAATAAAATTGAAGGCACCAGTAGGAGTAATGCTGACTAAGAATTTGAAAGTATTGTGTGATTTATAAGTGCTATATGTTCTAGCATTGACAGTTGGATTCTTAGGCCTTTGAATAAAAATTTCCGTACAATCTATTATAGCCCTAGTGCGTGGAAAACATTTTTTGAAAGATTTAGGCATGAACTTGTTTATACGTTCACGAGATGGCCATACTATACAGTCTTTGAAAATATAACACAAATAAAACATCCATGTTGTGAAGATGGATGACACTCTTGAACAAGAAACACCAAATAACTGGGACAAAACAAACACAGGCAAAGCTAATCTTAGGCGTACTAGAGTTAAAATGATTCATCAGATCTAGTTTCCTTGTAGGACCAGGCTTTTTTCCTTCATTTTGATATTGTTTATCTTCTTCACTTACCTTTCCAGTCCAATATTTCATATTGCAATCAAAATTCACAACTGTTTCCTTGACCTTATCAAAAATTTCAACGGTAGGAAGGCCTGTAAATTTTCTGACTGAGTCATCACTTTTTGTAACTTTCTCAATAAAAATATCTTTAAATAATTTATCCTTATCACTTAATGTTTTTTTTAACTGGTCATTTTCCAACAATATGTCCTCTATATCTATTAAGGTCAAATCAGTTTGTACTCCTGTGTCAATAAATGTGGAGCACATGGTACCAGTAGATGTTGATGCCCTGCTGTAACTGTGATCATCTTGTTGGTTATTGACTACTTCTATAATACAAAGAAATGGTCGCACATTCAAAAATTTGCATACACTTTAAACTAATAAAATCAAACTTGTATGCCTGTCCCAAGTTAGGAATCTGTAGTACACTGGTTGTCTTTGGTTCATGTTTGTTGTATTTATTTTCTTTTAATTATATAATTTTTGCCATTAGTTACTTTTTCTGTTTTTAATTGTGTTACATTAATCAGTTTCCTCATTATGGAATGCTATGCAGTGGCTTATAATAATACCACTTCATTTTATCTGGTGAATGGTTGTCTCATTGGAATCATAAAGCATCTCCTTATTTTATATACATGGTTTATTTCAATTGTTATATAATTTGTAACTATGCAAGTATTCAGTACAAGTTAGATTTTTGCAAGTTTAACAAATACTGTGCTTCTTTAAATCTGGGACCAATACATGACTTGTACATATATTGGTCCCTGTTTTAATAAATGAATATCATAGCAAATACACGTACATGATGTATGTAACACAACACAATAAAATTTTAATAATGTCAAACTGGCCATAGATGCATACATATAACATGTATAACATTATGGAATATATATGCTACATTGTAAGTACAAATGATATTGTATTCTACATTGTTCAACAAGATAATGTCGTACATACATTTATATTGTATAAATGTCAAAAAGATGACAGGAAGTTAAAATTAATCCCACATGACAAGCGCAATGTAACTTATCTTCAGGTTCAATGATAGTGGATGTTGTTACATCAATATTAACATTCATTACAGGGAGGAATCTATCTCTAGTGCCATCATTTACAACCACAGGATAACTGCTTGATGTGATACTTTCACTGGAACCTACATGTATGAATAAAATAATAAAAGGTTCAAAATTTATCATGCACAAATATATATATATATATTATAAAAATATCACAAAGACTGACATAAATTACTAAATTACAAATCCATACACATAAATGAAGTGGATGGAAGCAATACTAGGCAACAAGATGAATAAAGTTATTAGTAAAAAAAATTCACTAAAGGCGAAGTAGTTGGAAAATCAAAACAGGAACTGGGGAAAAAGTGAGATTAATTAACAAAAAGAAGTGTCAAATACTAGTAACTTAATTTCCCTGACCAAAATAACAACATTTTGAAGACTAAATATTTGGTCACAGATGTGCTTCCAAAAATGTGAAAAGGGGGCCAGGACCCCAAACCAGAGACATATAATATATAATACAATTATATGTCTCTGCCCAACTAGGCAACATTTGAACAATGATCTAATTGCCCCCACCCCAACCCTCTGTGTCAAAAGCGTTTTTAGGCTGTGAATGTAATTATTAATTGTATGTACAAACCTCAGGGTTGTTCGTTGGTTATGACCAGTGATTCAGCCTCAGGCTCAGGGTTGTTATTTACATCAACAGTTGGTTCGGGAACTTCCCCTGAATTTATATCTGAATTCCGTTTCACGATGGAAGCTAGGCTTCGGTGTGGATCATACTCTCTATAATTGTTCCATTGGAATAATTCTGGAACATTGCTATCCTGGACAAAGTGTCTTGAACACACTCGGTGGTGTGCAAGCGGCTCATACCCCAATGGTCTTCTGATCATTTCTACCCATTTTTGGCGTAATTTTTTGTTCTTTTTTGATGTAGGAAACGCATTGAAAATAACATTTTCCATCAATGGATACTTAATTAGATTATTTTTTTTTCCTGCTGTCTGATGTGCAGCCTGGAACAACACACCAGTAATTACTGGAGTGTTTTGGTTTCCTTGTTGACATTTCCGCGTTACCGCCCCTTAAACTTGCATAGAATTTTTGGAATGTCACATGATCAAGTGCACGATTTTTACCTCCAAAGAAGGAAGAGCTCTTTATCTCGGAAATGTCCTATATAAGCATTCTTTGGGAAATTAACGAGTTTGAAACTGAAAGTCATCAAAACATGGAAATATAAACAAACGGTGAGAGAATAAAGAAAAATTTGAAAGCCTAATTTTTTAAAAAATAAAAGTAGGATTAAAATTTAACTTCGTTCAAATCTGTATAAGTATATTATCGTAAATCGTTTAAGCATGTTACTAATTCAATTTTCTTTGTCTTTTACGTCAATATTAAAAATGTGTTTAATTATGGGAACATCAATTATTTGCCTCCAACTAGAGCGCTTCGATCCCAAAATGATAAGTCATGGGGGCTTGAATCGCTCGTGGTAAACTATTAAGCATAAAGGGCCAATCCGTAAGATTTTTTTTTTTTAAATTTCATTATGCAGTTTGTGATTTCAAGTATTTATTTTAATTGAGTTTTACGAAGTATATCTAAATTTAGATATCTACATATTTTGTACTTTGTAACAAAATATTGCTGTTTGATCAATTT